AGGGGGGGAGCCGCGGGGCCTGCTCTGGAGGAGGCGGGACCCTTGCGGGAGCGGGGCCTAGTGGTTAAAGGAGAGAGAAGAGGCCCCTGGAGGACGAGGGGAGGGAGGGGAGAGTGAAGCGGCCTCTGGAGGGCTTGGGGGCCCCGGATGGGTGGGGATTGTGCTTTAAAGTTAAAGGTTCGGAAATGTGGCTAATCCCAGTCCCATGGAGGCGCAGAAACAGGAAAACTATTACCAAATATCTTTTAAACTTTTATTAAAGGGCTTCTACGTATACATTATTATTTTATCACTTTCTTACACACATAGGCACCAAATAATTATTAGAATGACCATTAAGCAAAATGCAATACAGTAAAGAAAATTCCTTGAGGTTTCTCTAAATCCCAATAGTTGTTAACAAGGGACTAGGGATTATTAACAGTTACATTTACATCAGTCTTACTTATAAGACTCATTATTTATCTAAAACTTTTAACACTACTACTTAACAATACCTCTAAACAATTTCAGATAATACTTACATTTAACAGACACACAAACTACAACAACATGTTTGGTATACGTTACGCTCTACAGGAACTCGTTTGGTTCAGTGAGCGGGAGGTGGACCTCCGGTGAGATCAGTCCTCGGACCTGGCTCATATTCTGCCATCCAATGTTTATTCAGGATTCCTCAATTTGATACAGGAGGGGAAGCTGTTTTATAGAGAAAGCTTTTGTGCACTTTTTGTGATAGGCTAGCAGACCCTGTCTGTTAAGTGACAGGAGAAAGGGGGGTGAGATGGTTTCCTGTTTTTCTTTTTCTGACTTATCGGGCATGGCACAGTCAGCACAACCAGCACGAACTTTACATGAACTTTTTAGGTCTGGCTTTGGTTCCTATTCGCTGATCTTTATGTTACATAGTGTAAGGGTTTTTCATCAAGGAGAAGTTGACCTTTTGCTTGGATGGCAATACGCACGAGAGGCCTGGCCAGCAAAGAGCCTGCTTCCACAGGGATGGAAGGTGGAGTGATAGGAGAGGCCCCTGGAGGGCTGGGGTGTCTGGGGTATGGAGAGAACAAGTCCCTGGCAGGCTGCCCCCTCCAACCCCTCCTCATCCCCCAACCGTCAGCCCCAGCTTCCTGCACCCACCCCTCACATCCCCAAGGGCTTGTCCTGAATTCTGCGAAAGTCTAGTATTAACATAAAGCTGAGGTCTTAGTTGCTGTTGCAGCCAGAACACTGCTGA